GTTGTAAGATTCTATGAACAGTTTTGTTGCCTAGAACTCTACCTTCTGTGTATGTGGAAGTTTAAAAGCCTTACATCACCATCTATGGGGCTTAACAGGATTTGCAACAGTTGTGGGTCAGACAGAGTGGAAGAACTTTCAACAAGGAAATACTTCACCTGAAGGATAAAACTCTCACGAATGTTAAATGCCAACAAACTTAATTTTTTTTCAGAAATGTTAACATTATTTTATTCGCAGGATTCAAAATGAGGAAGTGTTCATTTATCCTCCTGTCAGAAAACTTGAGTAGGTTTCTCGAAATTTTGAGCAAAATCCCTCATTTTCAAGCCAGTCTAGACTTGACTATTCCAACACATTCCTGGTCAGCCTCCTTCCTGTACTGTTTTTCTTTTAAATTCGTTCACAGGATGTGGGCTTTGCCGGCTAGGCTAGCATTTATTGTCCAGAGGGTAGTTAAGAACCGAACACATTGCTGTAGGTCTGGAGTGATATGTAGGCCAGGTAATGATCAATCAGTTTCCTTTCCTTAAAGAACATTAGTGACCCGGGTGGGTGTTTCCCCCAACAATTGACAATAGTTTCATGGTCATCATTAAACTCCTAATTCCAGGTATTTATTGAATTCAAACTCTTCTGGGTTTGAATTCTGTCATAGCAGATGGTTTTTTTTTGCTGCTCCCACAGCAGGAGAACTGCAGAGGTTCAAAAAGGCACCTTCTCGAGGGCAACTAGGAATGGGCAAGAAATGCTGGCCAGCCAGTGACGCCCACATCCCACAAATGAATAAAAGAAAAACCATCTGCCACGCCAGGATTCAAACTCAGGTCCCCAGAACATTACCAGGGTCCCTGGATTAATAGGTCTAGTGATAATACCACTTGGCCATCTCATCCCTCAATTGCTGTACTCTCTATTCACTCAAAGGCATCTAAAACTCTGTTGTTCATGTTGATACATCAAGACTTCACCCATCTCTCCGAGGCTCACTGACATCTATTGGTTCCTGGGTAAATACCTACCCGGCCTCTCTCCTCTCTTTCTCTGGTATCTCCCCTAAAGGTATCCGCACTCCTTTAATTCTGGCTTTTTGAAGTTGTTGATTTTGAGAGGAAGTGGTGGAGGCAGGTACAGTTACAACGTTTAAAAGACATGTGGACAGGTTCATGAATAGGAAAGGTTTGGAATGAAATGGGCCAAGTGGGACTAGTTTAGTTTGGGAAACTTGGTCGGCATGGACGAGTTGCTGTAAGATTCTATGACTGTATGAGTGTTTCACCATTGGGTGCCATGCATCCAATGTCTTAGGAAGCTTTGGAATTACCATTGCAACACTTTTCTGAATCCCTTCCTTCTTAATATGTTTCTCAAAGCCTTCCACTTTATAACAGAGTTTTTAGCCACCTATACTTCTTTATTCATTCACGAGATGAGGGTGTCACTGGCCAGGCAGCATTTATTGCCCATCTCTAATTGCCCAGAGGGCAGTTAAGAGTCAACCACATTGCTGTGGGTCTGGAGTCACATATAGGCCAGACCAGTGAAGGATGGTAGTTTCCTTCCCTAAAGGACATTAGTGAACCAGATGGGTTTTTCTGACAATCGATTCATGGTCATCATTAGATTGTTAATTCCAGATATTTTACTGAATTCAGATTCCACCATCTGCTGTGGCAGGATTCTAACCCAGGTCCCCAGAACATTATCTGGGTCACTAGATTAACAGTCCAGCAATAATACCACTAGACCATCACCTCCCCTACTAACATTGCTTTGTCTGACTTGTTGTCCTTCTCTAACTTGTTGTTCCTTCTTATTTTACTGAGGGGAAGTGGTAGCATCGTGGTAATGTCACTAGATCCAGAGGCCCAGGATAACTCTCTGGGCTTCTAGATTCAATCACATGTCCTCAGAGTATTGAATTCAATTAATAAAGTCTGGAATTGAAAGCTAGTCTCAATAATAGTAACTGTTGATTGCTGTATAAAATCCATGTGTTTTTTCTTATGCACTTTAAGGAAGGAAATCCGCCAACTCTACCTGTCTGGCCTACAAGGAACTCCAGAACCCAGGGACATAGTTGACTCTTAAATGCTGTCAGAAATGGCTGAACAAGCCACTCAGTTCAAGGGCAATAAGGGATGGGTGAAAAATGCTGGCCTTGCTCAGTAACCCCCTTATCCCATGAAAAAAAAGATAAGCTATTTGAGAAGCTTCAGAAGCTTTATGAATATAATTTGTTGTTGCAGGCTATTTTGTAACTTGATTTTTTTTCAGCACAGCAGCTAATGTTTATGAACATATCTATGAAGACTACAGCCAGGCAGCGTTGGTGGTCATGGCTTCAGAGCGTCAGTCTTGACTCAGGAAGAGGCTCTTTCAGATCGGAGTCAGAGCTTTGCACCTTCATATCACATTCTAGAGTCTGAAGGTCCAGGCTGAGGCTTGCAAACGCAATACAGAGTGCTGTCATTCAGATAAGCTAATAAAACAATGTCTCTTCTGTCCTCTCAGGTGAAGGTAAAACGTCCTGTGACACGATTTCACAGAAAAGCTGAGCTTCTGTTGGGTGTCCTGACTGGCATTTTTACCTCAGAGCCAAGATTACTGAGGCAGGTTATTGAATGCTTTTTGGGAGATCGTAGTGTGTGCAAATCTATTACTACATTTCCAATATTACTGTGATCAGAATCTAATCATACTTTACTGATGATGAAATATTTGAGTTGTCCTCAGGTTTGTGAAATGCAAGTTATTTCTGTACCTCTATTATCGTTGCCTTATATTTTACTATTTATCTTCATCGTATTCACTCACTCCTGCTACTTACCCACAGACATCACGTGCCGTATGGTTAGAAACCAGCTTGTATATGTGGCCTCTCAGATTTGTACTGTTGTCACTACCTTCTCAACCATTCCTAATTGGAAGTGTCTTTGAGGACGTGCTATAATTAAATTTAGATTAATGAGAAAAGGCTCAGTCATTGAGGTTCACCTGTTGAGCTCATTCAGGCTGTCACAATCTTCCTGCTACCATAGCACTAAAAATTGCACCCTGTTCAACTAGGATTTTATTTCTGGGTCAGAGCATTTGTAAACGGGGCTCCATGTGGAGTGTTGATGTATTTAAGGATGGTGACCATCGGCAGATCCCTGCATCCCACTGTATGATATCTGGGTGATGAGGGTGAGTAGTTGTAGTGACATTTGAATGTAGTGGGTCTCAGGGACAGCATCTCTGCTCCTCTGTACACATTGGGCTGGGCAGTGGTTGGTTGAATCATTATTTGCTACTTCTTTGATAACATACCTTTCAGTGTATGAGCTGCACCAGTGCCCAGTTTTACAGATAAAAGATTTGTTGAACCTACATCCATGGGCATTTAACCTGAATGGTGACAAAGCGTTCTGATGGCAACACTGTGCCAATGCATTGTTCGGTATGGAAAGTCTGCTCACTCTGTGTGCCCGTGGTTTGGGTCACCCTCATCATCTGAACACAGACATTTGTCTCGGCATTTTGTGGACCATGTCACAACACATTGGGCAGCACGGTGGCTCAGTGGTTAGCACTGCTGCCTCATAGCGCCAGGGACACGGGCTTGACTCCAGCCTCGGGCGACTGTCTGTGTGGAGTTTGCACATTCTCCCCGTGTCTGTGTGGGTTTCCTCCGGGTGCTCCGGTTTCCTCCCACAGTCCAAAGATGTGCCGGTTAGGGTGGATTGGCCATGGGAAATTGCCCATAGTGTCCAGGGATGTGTAGATTAGCTGGGGCATATTGGTCTGGGTGGGATGCTCCGTGTGGACTTGTTGGGCCAAAGGGCCTGTTTCCACACTGTAAGGACTCTATTCTAGGATTCTTCTATGATTTTATGGTAGGCGTGCCTGGGACTTTGGAACAGTGTATGAGTCTGGGCTATGTTTGTGGCTTTTCATTACTTTCTCTGATCTTAACTTTCTGAACCGGTGCTTCTGATGTCCTCTGGTGCCCCATGCCATGAGTGGAGCATTAGAAGCTGGGAAACTCTGGGAG